GGTAAAAATGTAAAATGGCATTAAAATATAAATCTATCAATATCAAAATGTCAGCATCAACCAACCGACACTCAACAAAATTTATGACGAATATAGCTACAACATGTTAATGTGTATATAACTTTTAATGTTACAAGTAAAAAAGTTAACATGCAAAAGGGATGCAATCACGTCGTCACAATACTTTTGATTTAATACTTACTGCCATATCACTTTAAGCAACGTTGAGCCGTGTCAGTACCTAGATGGGTGACCGCTTGTGAATACCAGGCCATGTATTGTAAGCTTGGATGTGATGATAGTGTAATGGCTCGGCACCCATCATAAAATAAATAAACAGTTTGATGGCAGCAAGTTGGAATAATGGATCGAGGAATCGGAGAGCCGAGTTCTAATTCCGTTTTGATTTGGTTTGGTTTGTTTTAGGGCATATCATCTTCAATGGTTTATTTAATGCCGACAAGATTTTATTGCTGGTAATATTTTTTTTCCTTCAAAAATGTATTGCTGGCAATATTTTTTTTCAAAAAAGTATATTGCTGGTAATACATTTTTCTTCAAAAATGTATTACTGGTAATATTTTTTCTTCCAAAATGTATTCCTGGTAATATTTTTTTCTTCCAAAATGTATTCCTGGTAATATTTTTTCTTCCAAAATGTATTCCTGGTAATATTTTTTTTTCTTCCAAAATGTATTCCTGGTAATTTTTTTACAAAAAAGTATTGCTGGTATTAAAACCTAAATTTTTCCACTTTCCAAATGTTTTGACCCCAGTTTGGGGGTTAACTATTTACCCATAGCCGGTAAGCTAACAGGTACTACCACCCCGGGTCAGGGTGGACCTTGGAACACCAGCAATTAATAGGTGGTTCCAGCTCCTCAAAGCCTCCTGATCAGAGGCCTTGCAGTTGGATGGAGTTTGTCGACTTACCCAGGACGCGGATGTAATTTACGTCATAGCCAGGACGGCGTAGTTTATTGTCTTAGCCTGGACGCGGATGTAGTTTATCGTCATACCCAGGACGGTCCAATTCCGATTGTGTTTGTTCTATTCACTTACGCGCAAATACCATTGGGAAAGTTATGAATGTCTCAATTTCGCCACCGACCAGCTATGAGCCAATTAGTAAAACTGGTATCACTAAACCATTATTATCTCTAAAAAAATTCTTCCAATCTAACTTTTTTTATGTTTTAGGTAACCTACAAAGGGTTGATAAACCGTAAAAAACGAATCCATCAATCAACCTTCTAAAATAAAGTCAGGAAAGAGCAAAACCCTAGTGATAGGACGAAGAATTGAATAAAGTAATTTTTTTAGGAATAAATCCCGGTATGAATCCTTAGGCTATGTCTGTAAATTTAAGAAGGGGTGATTTTAGCAGACATTCCAAACATATTGCAACTAACTGTATTTGAAGCCAGAGAGATGTGATTCTACAAGGACATATTGAGAATAGAATGAATAGGACCCGTGAACAATGAGAAAGTTCTTAAAAAACAGGAACTAGAAAGACACTCATTCTTAAAATAATGAAGAAGCTGTTAGAATTTCTGGAAATTGAAATTTATGGGGAAGGACGACTTGGAAAATTTAATATTCACAAGACACATTGAGAAAATGAGGAGAAGAGAGAAGCAGCCAAAACCTTGCCAAATGGTTTTCTGCAAATAGATGGCAGTGTAAGGACAAGAGGTATGATAAAGAGTCAAAACTTGTGTAGAAATATAAGGAACAGGAAAATATGGAGAGATGTGATCGTCCACGTTTTGAAAAGTCACAATAAATTACATAGCGCTCAACTAGGCTGGCATCTCGCTCTCGCCCTTTCACTGTCGAAACTGTTAAATGTAGCCGTCTCTTCTACTCCGATAGCTTCATGTCTCGCACTTCTAGGCTGTGGAACACCCTCCCCATTTCTTGTTTTTCCTGATAACTATAATCTCCAATTATTCAAATGTAACGTCAATCGACGTCTCCAGATGCCCTGATCTATCCCCTAACCTTCTCTTCATCCTTTCCTCTATCGCTCCTATTTGCTCTCGCTCCAAGTCTCTGTAACCCCTTGCATGCTAGTGGCTTCCCGTCTTTCTTGGGTTTGGATACTGAAAAAAAATCAAAAGTAAGTAACGAAATCAAGAAATGACAATGTTGTTTGAACTGTAATGGTACTTGTAATGTTGCCAATGGTATGTTCAGTGTCTTGTATGTCTGACCGGCAGAAGAGTTCCTTCCTGTCCCAAGTTGCCATACTTACCAGGCAGTAACTCTCCTTCAGGAGGAGGCTGGGTTTATTGGCCGGCTTCCTAGGCGTCCCCAAACGTGTGGCTTGAGAATCTTTCCACGTTACTGTGGATAAACCAATATTAAACTTAAGCTTGCGTCACAAATTTTGCGTCGTGGGCGAACACATTAATAATATGAAGTAAATCAAGAAACAAGAGATGTAATATAAATTGTGCTTTACTTAGTCTTGTAACCTAGGGAAGGTTAGTGAATAGAATAATCAAACGAAGGTTGGTAATGAACGATAATGCTTAGAACAACACATATAAGATTCGGCAGAGGCGCGTACAAATAGCCAACTGATAGAAATGAGTCAAGTGAATCCCACACTGAATCTCCAACTGCAGGATATGTACCAACAGCCCCA